TGTATGTATGTTTGTATGTCTGTAGTATATAATGGAAAAATAATAAAAGTGTACCCTCGGGTACTTATATATATATAAAAAAAGGGGGGAGCTTTTGTGTGCATGCACTCTTCTTCAGATACATTGAAATGGAAGTTACCAGTCCATACATATAGGTAGAGGGTGAGCCGCAAATTAGCATACGATATAATGAGATGTTTTTAACAGATGCAAGCAGGAAGAACAAGCTAAGTTTATAAGGTCATCGTTGTTTGGATTTAATTCCCGGGGGGGAAGCCGTGTGGCTAATAAATATGTCAAAATTGGTGACAGATGTGTAAAGGTATTCTCCTTAATGATGGAGTTCCAAGAGCACTGGATCGATTTTAAAAGGATTTTAAAAGGCCTGTTCGTTCCGTACCTCTTATGAACAAATTCCTTGCCGTTTCAACTGGGCAGCTGTGTTAATCTGCAGTAAAAGAGCACGATACAAGTTCGGTGTCTTTTTGGGGGGTGGGCTTTCAAGGGTCAAAGTTCAGACGCCCTGCCAAAGCGCTCTGACTCTACAATATACCCTGGAAATCTTGCTGGTCTTGTTGTTGTTCAGTCGCACAGTTGAGTCCAACTCTTCGTGACCCCATGGACCAGATCACGCCAGGCCCTCCTGTCTTCCGCCGTCCTCTGAAGTTTGCTCAATTTCATGTCCGTTGCATCTGTGACGCTGTCTAACCAGTCTCATCCTTTGCCGTCCCCGTCTTCTTTGACCTTCAATCTTTCCCAGCATCAGGGTCTTCTCCAGGGAGTGCTCCCTTCTCATTGGGTGGCCAAAGTCTTTGAGCTTCAGTTTCATTATCTGGCCATCCAGGGAACAGTCAGGGTTGATTTCTTTTAGGATTGACTGATTGATTGATGCTGCTACCGAATGCAAGAATTAGTTGCAGATTGCTTTGGGGCTAAATTGCTGAAGCTCTTTTTTTTGGTTCCGTTCTGTCCTGCCCTCTGGCGATACGTGACTCCGTATTTTATTCTCCCAACAGCCCTAGGAGGTAGGTAAGCAGACAGTGGCCGATCCAAGGTCACCTGTGTCTCTGTGTCTGAGTGGGGTTTTTAACCCAGATCCTCCCAATCTTAGTCTAACACCTTAACTACTGAAGGAGTATCCGAAGAACCTTGCCTGCACGTGAAAGCTTAGACCCAGAATAAAACTTCGTTGGTCTTCAAGGTGCCACTGGACTCAGACTTCGTTCTGCCTTAACTACTGTGACATCTTTGGAGAGGATTTGAACCCGCACCTCTCAGTCTTAACCTAACACTTTAACTGCTACAGGAAGTGGTGGCGGCTACAAGCATGGACAGCTTCAAAAGGGAATTAGATAAGCATAAGGAGCAGAGGTCCATCAGTGGCTATTAGCCACAAGGTATAGATAGGGACTCTGGGGCAAGTGATGCTCTGTCTTCTTTGTGCTGGGGGGGGGCTCAACAGCGGAAGGGCTTCTAATGTCCTGGCTCCACTGGTGGACCTCCTGATGGCACTGTGTGATACAGAGTGTTGGACTGGATGGGCCTTTGGCCTGATCCAACATTGGCATCTCTTATGTTCTTAACTGCTGCAACATCTTTACAAGAGGTACAGTTGTTTGTGATCTCCTAATGTACTGTCAGTGACTCCAAAGGGCAGTATAACAGGTTCGGGAGCAGCTCTCCGACTTGCACAAAACAACAGAGGATTATCCACCCACAAGGGGTTCTCTGGGCCTGCCCGCCAATTGTGATCTCGTTGTGAAGGTCACTTCAATTATCCTTATCTAGGAGCTGATGGAAAGATTAGGTGTTTCCTGGTGTACTTCGCTTGCCTTGGCGATCCTGAAGACGTTTCCCTCTTCCCTGCTAGTCTGAATCGGTTTTCTCCGGAGCGTAGGGGAGTTGAGTGCATTGAGCCATGGAGGTTTTCCACGCAAATCGCTGCGTGAGATGGCGAGATAAGACTTTCTTGGCATTGGCTGCTATTACAGGAGTCTGACTCGGCACTATTGAAGTGCAGAAAATTGCTGAATTACAAGTTATTACAACACTTGGAACAAAAACCTTCCCAAGACTCAACAGGGATATTGGTTTCTTATCTGATTACATATACTAACTCATTCAATCCTCAACAAGGACTATATGCCCTCTGTATTTTAGTGTATTTCTTTTTCAGAATAGTCTATTAGAATACTGAATATAATGGAAGGAATATTGGGATGTTTTGCTGCATCCGTCTCAAAAAAATAAAAAATAAAAAAAGCTGTTAAGTGACCTCCACACCTGAAGAGGAGAGAATGGAGAGTCTCAGTTTACTTCCCACAATTAGAAAAGAGACCTTTACACATTTATCTGCTATTTTGCCGTATTTATTGCTTTATAACTGTTGACCTTATAACCTTAGTTTGCTATTCAGTTTTGTCTTTGCATATCTTAAAACATCTTAATCATGTTACATGTTCAGCCCCTGTCTATAAGTTTTAACCTTACCTACCATTTCACGGTATCTGAAGAAGAAGAAGAGATTGGATTTCTGCCCCGCCCTTCACTACCCAAAGGTGTCTCAGAGCGGCTTACAATCTCCTTTCCCTTCCCCTCCCCACAACAGACACCCAGGGAGGTAGGTGGGGCTGAGAGAGCTCTCCCAAGAAGAAGAAAAAGAAGAAGAAGAAGAGATTGGATTTATACCCCGCCCTTCACTACCCAAAGGAGTCTCAGAGCGGCTTACAAACTCCTTTCCCTTCCCCTCCCCACAACAGACACCCTGTGAGGTAGGTGGGGCCGAGAGAGCTCTTGACAGGAACTGCTCTTTTTCAAGGACAGCTCTTATTAGAACTACGGTTTGCCCAAGGTCATCCAGCCAGGTGCAAGTGGAGGAGTGGGGAATCAAACCCGGTTCTCCCAGATTAGAGTCCGCACACTTAACCACTACACCAAACTGTGCTTGCCCACGAAAGCTCATACCTTGAATAAACCTTTGTTGGTCTTAGATGTACCACTGGACTCTAAGTTTGTTCTTCCGTGCTGTTTTGTAATCCTGGAATTTAAGAAAAAATATATTAAAAAGCTGTGTCGTCACCCTGTATTCAGAGCGCGGACTCTAATCTGGGAGAACCGGGTTTGATTCCCCACTCCTCCACTTGCACCTGCTGATGTGACCTTGGGTCAGTCACAAGCTCTGGCACTGCTGTCCTTGAAAAAGAACAGTTTATGTCAGAGTTCTCTCAGCCCCACCTACCTCACAGGGTGTCTGTTGTGGGGAGGGGAAGGGAAAGGAATTTGTAAGCCGCTCTGAGACTCCAAGTGAAGGGTGGGGTATAAATCCAATCTCTTCTTCTTCTTTTCTGAGTCGTCGTCCTGCATTCAGACAAAACTCTCTCCCCCCCCCCTTTTGTCTCGGCAGGATAAGTATTATGATTATTAGGTGTCGTCTTTCAGCCGCTTTTTCTATGGCAAGCAAAGGGAGTCGGGCCGCGGTGGCGTTGAGCAACTTTGACGAACGGGATACCTTTAGAGAATCCTGATCACGCTGCCGGCATCCTGACATACTTGAATCAAGGTAAGGGCGGCTTTCGGTGTTGAATAACAGCTTCGTGTGGGGTATAGCTGGCGTGATGGGATCCAGTCTGGAAGAAAATGTCGAATTGGGTGCCGTATTAACTTCCAGAATCTAGGGCTTGCTCTTTTTTGAAAAACAAGCAAGTTTCTAGTCCTGAAGATACACTTGGAAGTATATGTAGGGCCAGGCAGGAGGTGATGGGAAAGACCTCTGCCGGAGACCCTGGAAAGCTGCTCTCAGTCTGAGTGGACAATACTGACCCTGAAGGACCAGGGGCCGCTTCATGTGTGTGTGCATGAACGATTAAGGGTGGTCTCATCAGCTGTTGGGCTGTAGGCCACCATTTTATGCTGGAAGTCTGGGCTCAGAAATGCCTTCTAGGCTACGGGAAGATTCCCAAAGGTATAGTGATTAAATATATACGTATATGCCGGGGTCATTTCGTAGAAAAAAGAGGTGCAGGAGCTCATTAGCATAACTTATTTGCATATGCCACGCCCCCTGGCGTCACCGGAAGTGTGTCAGAAGGCAACACCCACCAATCAGGCTCCACTGGACTGGTTTGGGATTGTTAGCTATTGGGGGGGGAGTGCAGATCTGTCCTCACAGAGGAGGGAGAGCTTGTACCTGAATAACACTTGGTCTTAAAGGTGCCACTGGACTCTTTTGGACCCGGAGGCTGGGGGGGGGGGGCCTCTGCAACTTACCTGGCTGCTTCTTGCTCTGACTGAGGGCTGCTGGGAGCAGGGGGTGGGGCTTGTTGCATGTGCCCACCCCCTGGGCTCTTTACTGCCGGAACTCTGCTCCTGTGCGGTCCTGCAGGAAATGACCCCTGCGTGTCAAGAGGTTCCCAACACTTTTCAGGCTGCCAGGCCCCTTTGGGGTGCAAAAACGGCTGCTGCAAAATTGCTGCCGTGGGAGGCGGAACGAGTCACAAAGGAGTCTCAGAGCGGCTTACAAACTTCTTTCCCTTCCCCTCCCCACAAGAGACACCCTGTGAGGTAGGTGGGGCTGAGAGAGCTCTCTCGAGAACTGCCCTTGAGAGAACAGCTCTGAGAGAACTTGTAAGTGACCCAAGGTCACCCAGCTGGCTGCATGCGGAGGAGTGGGGGAATCAAACCCGGTTCTCCCAGATTAGAGCCCGTGCTCCTAACCACGACACCAAACTGGCTCTCGTAGGCACGTCGACGTTGTTGAGTTTACTTTTGGTTTCTTGCCTGTTTTTGGGGGGAGTAGTTTTCCCCCCGTTTCTGATAGCCCTGAACTTGGGGGGGAGGCTCCAAACCGGGGGATTTCCCTATCCTCAACTGGGAACTGGCACTCCTTATTCTGTGCATATGACTTTTTTAAAAACTGCACTTTCTGCACCCACTGATAGCACAAGCTGTTGTAGAAAAAAGCGAGGGAGTGGTTGAATTTGGTGGGGAGGATCGGATATGTGAACTTCTAGCTGATAAGGCCAGTCCACGGCTTCAGGCTGTGTAAGAGCCCGGCTGGCGGTTGCTGCTGTCATTTGTGGGAGTCTTGGTACACAAAGGATCGATTGGTTGGAAGCCGTCCCACACGCCTGGTCTTCCTAATGCGCACTTTATGGTTACCTACTGATGGCCTCTGTGAAGAGCTGCGGTGCTTACGGGAGGAACGGGTGACTCAGCTGGATTCCCCTTATCTGCTGACTCCGTTCCGGCAATGAAACGAGAACTCTGAGGAGATCTTCCATGACACATCATCTTTTAACACAAGGCGCTGCGGCGGGAGCCCCGCGCATGCGGCAAGTGTGGCTGGTGTTAAATGTGTCGGTGGAAAGCAGAAATTGTGGTGCGGCTCTTGACCTGTGTGTGCATTTTTTTCTGGGTATCTGGGGACCTATTTCCCTCATGACAGAACTGAAGATGGAGAGGGGCCGTGGCTCAGTGGAAGAGCCTCCGCTTGGCATGCAGAAGGTCCCCGGTTCAATCCCTGGCATCTCCAGTTCAAAGGACCAGGCAGGAGGTGATGGGAAAGACCTCCGCCTGAGACCCTGGAGAGACAGAGACAGGCTGGGGCTCAGTGGTAGAGCATCTGCTTGGCACGCAGAAGGTCCCAGGTTCAATCCCCGGCATCTCCAGTTAAAACCAGACAGGCAGTAGGCAGTGTGAAAGACCTCAGTGGTAGAGCCTGTGTCTGGCATGCAGAAGGTCCCAGGTTCAATCCCCGGCATCTCCAGTAAAAACCAGCCAGGCAGAAGGCAGTTCAATCCCCGGCATCCCCAGTTAAAAAAGCATCAGGTGACAGGTGATGCAAAAGACCCCTGCCTGAGACTTTGGAGAGGACAAGATGGTAGGTGATATGAAAGGCCTTTCTTTGCCTGAGACCCTGGGGAGCCGCTCCCAGTCTGAGGAGACAACACTGACTGCGATAGACCAGTGGTCTGATTCGGTAGAAGGTAACTTCATGTGTGTTCAAGATCCATTGAGCCTCTGTCTGGCATGCAGAAGGTCCCAGGTTCAATCCCTGGCATCTCTAGTAAAAACCAGCCAGGCAGGAGGTGATGTGAAAGACCTCAGTGGCTCAGTGGTAGAGCCTCTGCTTGGCATGCAGAAGGTCCCAGGTCCAATTCCCAGCATCTCCAGTTAAAAAAAGCATCAGGTGACAGGTAATGCAAAAGACCTCTGCCTGAGACTTTGGAGAGGACCAGACGGTAGGTGATATGAAAGGCCTTTCTTTGCCTGAGACCCTGGGGAGCCGCTGCCAGTCTCTGAAGAGACAAGACTGACTGCGATAGACCAGTGGTCTTATTCAGTAGAAGGTAACTTCATGTGTGCTCAAGATCCATGGGTCCGTACTTGTATAATCCGCCACCCTTTCACAGGAGTTCAGGATGGAATTTCAGCCGCTCAACACCCCTTTGAGGTAGGCATGGCTTTCATGCCAGCTTGCCTCAGTGCCCCCTGGAGGCCGTTCTGGCTGAAGCAGCGATTTGAAGCTGCGTTTCCCACCAGCTGCTTCCATCCCGTGATTGCAGTGTCCTGTATGGGGAAAGTACATGGGGATGTTTATTCCCACGCTGAGAAGTGTCCTTCCTTCTTTCCTGAGACCCTGGGGAGCCGCTGCCAGTCTCTGAAGAGACAAGACTGACTGCGATAGACCAGTGGTCTTATTCAGTAGAAGGTAACTTCATGTGTGCTCAAGATCCATGGGTCCGTACTTGTATAATCCGCCACCCTTTCACAGGAGTTCAGGATGGAATTTCAGCCGCTCAACACCCCTTTGAGGTAGGCATGGCTTTCATGCCAGCTTGCCTCAGTGCTCCCTGGAGGCCGTTCTGGCTGAAGCAGCGATTTGAAGCTGCGTTTCCCACCAGCTGCTTCCATCCCGTGATTGCAGTGTCCTGTATGGGAAAAGTACATGGGGATGTTCATTCCCACGCGGGGAGAAGTGTCCTTCGTTCTTTTCTGCTCCTGCAGAGTGCAAGGGGTCGGACTAGATGACCTGCAAGGTCCCTTCCAACTCTAACATTCTATGATTCTGCCCGTTTCGGCTTGTGTGGACGCAAACAGTGCGTGAGGTTTCTTCTTCCCAGGGGTGTTCTTGAATTCTGAATACAGATGCTTCTAGGCGGGGCTGTGGTGTGTCAACACACTGCTCGTGGTGCTGAAATATAGCTGGCAGCAGGAGGGCTGGGAAGAAGGTTTTAATTGCAGGTGTGGCCGGGGATCCCCAGTGGGGAAAGGTGTAGGTGGGACTCCTGCGGGCGAAACTTGCCGGCAAGGCAAAATGTAGGTAGGTCGATAGTCCAGGCTAGCCCGGGATCACGGAATCTCAGAAGCTAAGCAGGGTCCGCCCTGGTGAAGGATGGGAGACGACCGAGGGAGTCCCGGTGTAGCAGGCCGGCTTCTAACAGCTCTTATCAATATTTGAATACCTTAGTGGTGAATTAGACTGTGAAAGGACCACTGGAAATTGAAGTTTGATAAAGATTGTTCTCGAAACGAACAACAAAACTCGAGAAGTTTGTCCTGTACATCTTGTCGACACTCTAGTGTCTGGATGATGTCCACCTGTTGAAATACAAGAATTATAAACAACTTGGAAGTTGGATTTCAGCATTAATTTCTTTGTGTGAACTTATGCAGCATTTCACTTTGTGTTGATGTCACACAGGGGCCAGCCAGTTCCTCTGGAGGGCCAACAACAGGGCAAAGAGGCTGAGGCCTTCCCCTGATGTTGCCTCCTGGCTCTGGAATTGAAAGGTTTAGTGCCTCTGAATATGGAGGTTCCTTTTAGCCCCCATGGGTAGTAGCCACTAATATACTTATCCTCCATGAATCTATCTAATCCCCTTTTAAAACTGTATATTCCTGTGTCAATCGCTACATTCTCTGGCAATGAATTCCACATTTTAATCACTCCCTGTTTAAAGTAGTATTTCTTTTTGTGTGTCCTTCAAGTATGTTGGTCCCGAACCATACAGGCCTTTAGACCACCTTGAATTGTGCTTGGAAAGGAACCGAGAGCCAGTGTAGATGGGCCAGGAGTGGACTGATGCAGTCCGTATGACCCACTCCAGTCAACATCCTGGCTGCAGCGTTCTGCACCAACTGACGTTTCCGAGTAGTTCTCCAGGGCTGCCCCATGGAGAGTGCCTGGCAGTTTGCGTGGCCATTTCATAAGAACCCTGCAAGGTAGACCAGGCTGAGAGAGTGACTGATCCTCAATCAGCTGGTGATGTTCAGGACTGAGGATTCGAACCCAGGTCTGCCTGCTCTAAATTCAGTGCATACAGATGTGCCTTGGTAGTGTGGCTGATGGCCATAACCCAGTGTCAGTTTCTGGATGTTTAACGCTTCTAGGTAATAGACATAGGGACACACCAGTCTCTTTGGCACTGTTAAACTTTTCCCTAGGTCAGTCCTTTCAGTGGCATGCTAACACCTGTCTGTACCTTTTTGTTGCTTTCTCTTCTCAGCAAAGACTGGCCTACAGAGAAGATTTAGTAGGGCTGTTGGGGGAAATGATTA